CTTTGTACCATATTCAAGAGGAAGTATGATTCAGCGTCTTGATTCAGGTTGGCTCGATCTATTACATGAATGCAGTTGACCGTTGATGAGGTAGGGTGTTAAACATGATGTAGTTGTTAGAGTTCCATGTCTATAGAGGCAACCATGCCTGAGGTTTTCTTTTTATATCTCTTGACCTTTGATCTTCTTATGTCCCGAGAATCCCCTGGGCCATTTTGATAATGTCCAAAGAAGAAGAATATCCAAAGTCAATTATAAATGTGTAGTGACTTTAAAGTAGTCCAACCAAAGTCATTCATATATTTGGCGTCGGTGTAAACCAGTTAGTCATAGTCACAGTGCCGTGGCATCATTCATTCAGATTTATCACTTTCTTATTCATCTGAGAAGGATTTCTTTTAAATGTAGATTGTGTCATTTTGAAATCTACTTTGGCTTCTGGCAATATTCATGAGTAAAATCATTATTATAGTGTTATCATTGTTCCTATCCTTTTGAAAAATTATTGATGGCAATTAACAATAACAGGGAAAAATGACACAGACACTCTACGTTTCATAGACATATGGATCCTTCATTCGTATGTTAATCATGTCAGCATGATTATTATGTTTTGCACCTACGAGTATATAGTGACATCAGTAAGGTTGTTGAGTTAGTTCTAATGAATGTGTTCTTAGATAATTGTCGTATAGGAGCAATATCCCAGCTTTCCCTTGTGAATCATCAAGTCTGGACTAGAACAACATGTGACTGATATCACGAGGTGAAGTAAAGTGTGGCTTCATGTCGTGTTCAAAATCTCACTTATATTGCGGTGTGCATGTATGTGCGGCTGCTTGTACTCGTCCGGACTAATGACGGTTTAAGGTGGTAGTCCACTGAGGTGCTATGACAATGTTTAACATGGATACCCCCCTAAAAAACATAATACTTACTTAAGCAGACCAGGTCTGGTTTTATCCCTTCAATGCCGAGCTCCAGGCAATGCCAAGCTCTGTGAATGTCTTTAGGTGTGACGCTGCCAGATTATCGAACCACCAACCTTCCTCGGTCCTATCCATTGTTTCATAAAGGCATCCCACACATCCCTCGACCATAGGGAACACAAATATGTGTGAACACTATTTCAGTTATATCATGACATGTCAACTGGGTGTGAGAGGAAAGCCCGAACTGATGAAGTCTTTGATGTTTACCAATTTGGTAGGTTTCTGGCACGCCTAACTGGGCCCCCATGGTTATATGATATTGCCCTAATAAGGCATGTCATTGAAACTACATTAACAAGAATATAGGTGAGGTAAAATGGAGTTTAACGTCGCGACCAAGATTATTGCACTTATATAGCGACGTGCACGTGTGTGTGTGTGTGTGTGTGTGTGTACGTGTGTGTGTGTGTGCGTGTGCGTGTGTGTGTGTGTGTGTGTGGCACAGTTTAACATGAATATCCAACTCAGACACAGTCCTTGTTTAGCCACTTAACCCTGAGCGCCAGGCAGGGTAACAACAAGTACCATATTTGTAAGGTATTTTGGTATGACGCGGCCAGGAATGGAACCCCGGACCATCCGACCTCCGGGCGTAGGCATTAGACCACGGAGGCGCTCCAAACTTGAATAACATTTCTTGGAGATGTTTATGATATATGCATGAACAATTAAAAGCATATCTGTGTAACATACCATAACGTGTCAAATGTCTCTTGCAGCTTTGAAAAGAGCATTCTATAATTCAAAATGATTTATTAATGTATATTATTATTATAATTATTATTATTATTATTATTATTATCTGCTAAACAACTGTACAGTTAGATGAAATGGCATTAAATATCCGTATCCTCCAAGATTAATTTTCAAATCACAAAGATCGAACTCAAATCATCAAGTTGCTTAAATAATCTACACTAAGATTAAAATCCTCACACAAAATACTTTCATAACCAAACAGTTGTGGTATTGCTTGAAATAAAAGCCTTCTCACACCTACGTGGGAGATTATTTACACACACTCTACTCCATTTAGTAGACTCCTAAACGATTACATATGTCAAAATACAAAAAAACAAAGTTTAGGGAAACGTCCCGGGTCTCACAGGAGGTCGTCGTTATGAAGCACACTCTGCCTCACATTTCAGCTTCTATCCAGCTACATACCTGCGTGTTTTTGTAGTCACGTTAAGAGTAGACACTCGTACAAGATTACAAGTAACATATTTACACACTTCGGTCAAGACGCTGATATTCAAGTGAATCAATAATATCGACTAAACAGACTGCTGGAACTGTCCCTCAAAATGCAAACAGTCCACATAACGCTGTAATCTTAGTGTGAAGTGGTAAACACATCGATAATGTTTCATTTACAATATATCTGTCAAACTGTCTTAAAATCCAAAGGGGTACGTTGATCCCCATTGCCTCGTGTTTCAAAACAAACTCATATATCTCAAAGTGGATGACAGGCACCAGCTACTACAGATAATCGTTAGCTTTTATTGAATACAAAACAAAGAAAAGTCACCAGATAATGAAATTTGTTATCTATTCGATTCATATGGCCGACTTAAAGTACTCACTCCAGTAACAAAAGGTGGGGTTACAGACATGGCATCTAACGGGTTCATGTATAGAATTGCACCCAAAGCTGACAATGTAGTCTCTTATATTTTTACATATTTTACAATTGATTATTCACGGAACAACATGGGTTTTGCGTCGTAAAGTAAGCACTAAATTCATGTTAATGTATTTGTAATTATCTACCATAGGTCCTTTTCCTTTTGCATGTTCAAAAGCTGACAGTGACATACGTTATGATTGTGAAATGTTTTACTCTAACACTGGCAACAAGTACATGTGCATGCAGATGTAAATGTGTCCATGCATGGGTATTGTTGCGCAATTTGCGGCAGGACAATGCTGGTCTTACTATGATTTGTTATTATCAAGATTGACGGTCTGTGTTGTGCGTTATCGGGTGGTCAGGCTCGCTGACGTGGTTTATGCATGCCATCATATCCCAGTTACGCATAACGATGCTCATGATGCCAATCACTGGAGTGTATGGTCTAGACTCGATTATTTACAGACCACTGTCATACAGCTGGAATATTGTTGAGTACGGCGTTAAACAACAAACAAACTGCATTGATGTGGATATGGTGGACAAAATTCAATCTTTTGTTTCATGTGTGAAGAGTATGTTGTTATGCAAATTCAAATGTCAGAGAACGGCTCCCATAGCATTACCGAGCCACAGAGACAGGTGTATTTAATATACTCATGGAGAACATATGGGATTGCATGAAGTGAATGGTAGTGATTATATGTTCCCTTAAGGGTTGCTAAAACTTGGCCTCTATTCCGGCGATGCGACGCTACGAGTGCAACTGTGCAGCGTCTAGGCATTGGAACACAGGCGCGTATTTCACACGCTAATGTAGACTCATTGCAAGGCAGTGACTGTGGTTGTCGGGCCTACCGAAACCTTTTCGAATCCGGTGTGATGTCTCAGGGGCAAATGTCCTTTCTAACACAGGTTTACGGAGAGCATCCCGACATAGAGAAAGTCTTGTCTGTACAATGTACCCTGCGAGAGGTGACTGAATTGGATCAGTTTGTCAGGCTCGATGAACTGGTTGATTTGTTGATATGTACCGGCGCGCAATAATCTAATGTGATATACCGATCAGGATACTATTGCATTATTCCAACCTTGCGAACATGAAAGATCTCATCCGTGTTGCTGTTGTACACGAATGAAAACCCAAGATCTATAATGCCGGTGTTTGATATTTTCTGCTTACTTTACTCACATTCCTATCAATGCTAACGGAATTATAAACTCCACAATGAGACGAAGATCTCATATTCACTTCTACATGCCTATTGGAAGAAGATTTAAAATATTGAACGGAGTTGGGATAAGCAAAGGACAAGGTATGATAAAGGCATTTTTAGTCCATGGGATGTGCACAATTACGAAATGAGTGAAACCTTTAACAAATGTATCAGCCCCATTGAAAATACTCGATTTTGATTGGTCAATCAGAGGTTTCAAATCAAGCTCCCCATCTTTGATTCAAAAGCTATTCACCGTGTGTAATGTTAAATATACAGGTAACCAAGCTCTACATTGCGAACACAGTACGTTTATTTCCTAATTAAGCCAGTCAATCGAACAGGTATTAACAATGTGTCATTTTGATTTATAGATTCAATATGCCATTGGGGCGAACAATAAAAGGGTTTCGGTTACGCAGTGTGGTTTTAATAAGCGACTATGATATAGCTAGAATGTTGCAGATTGCACAACAAAACAGCTTCCATTCATTCATCTTGTCTCTTGTACGCACTCCGTAACTGTATGTAACTCGTTAACTGCTATATCCTTAACCCTGTTATTACGTGCATTTATCTTGTGTATATAAATGCTTATAAAATTTAGTTCATTGCTTATTCAATGTATCAGGCCAATTGGATACTAAACAGTCAGGTAAAACATCTATGAATGTACTGTTTAAATGTAAATGATGTATGGACATTTATAAATTCTCTCGAAAATAGTGATTTAAACATGTTGAATTGAGTTTTATAACCCCTTAGCAATGTTCCAGTCATATCACGTCGAAGTAACACCAGAAATGGGCTTCGCACATTGTAATCATATGGGCATTTGAACCCCGGGCCTTCCTTGTGGTGAGCAAACGTTTCAACTTCAAGGCTACCCCATTGCCCCTATGTGATCTATTGTATGAGAGGGGTACAAGTTTACAATCGTGAACTTGAATCAAGTTGTTGACTTCAAAAGCATCCTATAGATGGAATAAGTGTACTAGTGGGGTTTTAAGCCCCTTTAAATATTCAGCAATATATTTTTGTTGTTCATTTTGAATCCCGAATCCAGTATCAACTGATTTATTTGTTTCAACCAATGTCACCCCATGTCACTTCTCTCTTTTCTTGCAAAAGCAGCAAGAGCACAAATTACTAGTATTTAGCTGGAAACGCATTTATTTTTCAAACTCATTCTACAGTAGCAAATATTCTCTTTGAAGCAAGTACATTGTGATAAACCGATATGATGTGATAAAATCTAACTGAAGTTAGGATTGATAACAGGTCGACTATGTTTGACCTATGATTGAATAAAAATGAAACTTGGTTGGCTATACCTCTCAAAATTAACTTAAAAATCAAATTTTCATTGAATTCTCTGCACTTCACTCTTCTTTGTACACGATCTTGTTTCCAATCCAAACAGTAATAGTAAAGGTCAATCCGAGCAATTCCAAAGCATAGGAAACATTTTAGTGATATAATGCACACACACAGGTAAAACGTAATTGTGCCCTTTCATTAAACATACACCGTACACAATTATCATTAAAACGCAGAAGCTTTCATTAACTACAGAAGTTTCATCATCCACTCCATCTCCCAGTCAAATATTTTCTGTCGAGCCTCATTTCTGTGTTGACTTCTTGCAAGACTTCTCTTCCTCCTAGAACGGCTCAGTTGGTGAAATGTGAAGGGGGATATGGCGAATCTGCTGTGATCGGAACAGGTGTGTCCTGCCCACACGTCCAGGTTGCGCTGCACGTCAGCTCTTATCAAATCAACGTCGAGGTCATCATAGACATGGAACTCGACTTCAGTTACGTTCTTGTTATAGACCATGAGAACCTTTGGAAGAAATACCCGTAAGCAATCGTCACATTGATTGTGTCGTATGTATGAAACATCAATATTCAAGGTCATAGAGAGTATTGTTCGAAGCCACTGACTGCCATATCCTTGAACACAACTACGGGACACTACTCCGATCACTGCCTTATGGCGCATAATACAGCATGGCAACCTATGCACAAAGATCCGAGATTGCGTAATATTAAACAATAAAAAAATCATCTCATAATAATCTATATGCAACTACATTTGATAAATCATATATATTATTCATAATACTGCATAGCAGTGATTACCTTCAGAATTCCTTTCAAGCTCTTCACATCTTCCTGGTGATCTATGAAGATCTGAACCCTGCCTGCGGCCCTGTAGGCCATCTCCTGCTCCACAAGTTCCATCAGTGGCATCGGATTCTTTTCGGAACTGAACATCAACATCTCAATGCTACCTGAAGGCTCTGGTCGATAACGTGACGTCATCAACGGCACTGTAACGAGGCGTTATCACAAGTTAGCTAGAGGCATATAAGTCTGTGCTGCAATTTTGTTGCTGTAGAAAAAATTTGTTTACACTATCCCATGTAAATCAAATCTGGTTTTCATAAATCTCGACTAGGTTTTCAAATGAAACCACTAAACAATGTACGATCATGTATGATGATATTATTTGTTATCCACAAGACTGTATCACAAGAGCGATAACTACAACTTCAATTCCTTATTGAGGTTTTCAAAACGTTTCACAATACACATGTGGAAGACATGTTTCCGTGTTTTTTTTCAGGATAACAATGAACTTTACATGTATTTGTGACCGGTGCCACCGTTGAGGCAGGATACACTGATCTGATCCCGACCACCTTGTATCATCACTACTTGATAGTGATTCAGAATCACATTGTCATGAAATAGTCGGAATCGTACAATCGAGAATATTATTACCATGGACAGGGTTTGGTCGCTTTAATTATGAAAGATATACCCGCCTTTGGGTAAAAACATATCTTACTTAACAAAGAGTACAGCTGAATGTTTTCAACACAGATGTTGCCATCATGGCAGGCGAGGGAATGGACGCTTGACTCTGCGTTCTCGGTGTCAAAGAACGTTGCCCGGTCTGTCAAATCAGGGAATGCTCGGGTAGCTCGGTTTATGAACTTGTCCACAACCACTGAACAAGCCTTCACTTTCTCATCCCACATGTGACCTTCAATGGAAACATGAGGCAAATACACAAACAGCTTCTTTTATCAGGACCAACTACCCATTTCGTACTGCCAGCCTACATATAATATACAGTTAGTTGAAACATTAAAATGTCAAGCCACCACAAAAATTGAACCAGTAGATGAATTGCAGGATGACAAGAAACACATTCGATACTAAGGTGTAATATATATCAGCTAACAACGAAAACACGTGGACATGTCTTAGACATCAGTTCACAATAGCGTTCTGCAGTGAATTCTGGTAACAGTGAAATCAATTATCAGTAGACACCAGCCACCATATTAAAATCTGAGAACATTCTCTCAAACCTTGTAACTGAACTATGGTGTATATGTAACCATTCATATGTAATTAAACCATGGTATCTGGCACAAAATGTACTACCTGTCGCCGGACATCCCCCACATAAATTAACCAGACATTTCTGTATGTCCGGATTGATGTCTGCTCTAGGAAGACGGCCGAACCCAGCAGCTGAGGTCATTCGCTCCTGCAACTTTCTAACTTCCTCCTTGCGGAATGGTAACGTTTCACTGCAGAAAACTGGCTGCTCGGTCGTGGAACATAATCTAAAGTAAAATACAAAGGGCGTTTACCACTCCACAGCGGTATATAGATATGGTTGTTTAATATACAGTTTGAAGCAAATACCAGAGATGTTGTCAAGTGAATTAATATTGCATCTCATCTCAATATATCTACTCATTAATCAAAGTCGTTTAAGGCGCCACAGTCTCAGATGTGTCACAATCTTTCGTTCGTGAGTTCGAGTCCTAGATTTTCCAAGATTTTGATATTTCCACCAGTGAGCTTCTTACCTGTGCTCGAGGGTTATATCAACGTTGTAAACGTATAAGACCTTCATTAGTTTGGGATTTCCTTCACTGTGAGCTGACACGCTGTGATATGACTAAGATAGTGCACAAAGACCCAACTAACATATATATACTGAATAACAAACGTTCCTGTGACATTGAATAAGATTTAATGCAAAGTTATGCTTTTTACCAAATCTGAAACAATTTCGGTGTGCAACAGATAAAAGACTCCGGTAAGTGTTCAAATGCTTTAATTTGCCATACTGACTTCAGAAAATGCGTGATGACACAATGATTGACGTAACGTTCACCTCGATGTCGGTACACTCGAATCCGTCCATCGCTGTGGCTGAGGTGAAAACGAGACTCGTCAGTGAATAGAACTTGTCCCCACTGCATGGCCGTCCAGCGTAGACAGTGTCTGCACCACTATAGACTTGCTTGGCGGTGGTTTCCTGTCAAAATGGGACGTCTGGCGGGTCTTCTGGCGACAATCCCTGCACATCTGAGGTGACGACGAACAGTTTGTGAAGATATTCGTCGAAGGCCAGGGATGCTTATTGCAGTCACTGTTGCTGGCTGGAATCGATTTCATAGGTGTGTTGTTCGAATCCAGTTGTCTTGTCCATTATTGGTTACGCGTGGTCTGCCACTCCGAGGATGGTCTCTGACTGCATTCGTCTGTTGCCAACGTTGCCATAAACACCAAATGGTGTTTCTGTGGACGTTAAATTGTCTTGGAACATCACTTTGACTCGATCCTGCTTCAAGCATACCAATGGCTCGCAAACGCTCATTTTCGGACACGCGTGGCATTTCGTAATGTTGAATAATTGCGTAATTTTGTTGTTTATCTGAGTGGTTGTTGTCAGCACGATGCTAAACAATGCATATGTAATCCCGATAACGCACATGTTTTTTATACCCATTCTTGGGAAGTGAAATACATGGGGCTTGCATAAAAGACAACTTTTGTCTGGAATGCATGCTTTTCTGTAGCAGTTGCGATTTTGTGACTTGATTCCATACATGTACTGCAGTATTGAAAACCAAACTTTACTTTACAGAAACTTTTGTTGTTGAGTACATTTGCAATAAAAAAAGAACAGCTTTATTCCCGGTTGTTGTTGGAAGGATGAAACCAGAGGCGATTTTGTAACACTAAAACAACATTTCTAATATGCTGCTGTCAAAGAGCTTCACTCAGTGCCACACTAAACGAATCACCACACTGCAGCCTTATTACATACCCCTTTTGATGAAACTGGAAGGTAAGGTACTGTTTCGCACCTCCTAGAGGATGCATGTCACAGATCCCTTTGTCAAAAGGATGAATAACAGGACCACCTGAGAAAACAATGGTTTGAAAATGTTAATTATGCAAACATGTTATCATTATGTTCGAAAACACAGGTTCACGTTCGGATCTTTACTTGATATGACATTGTAACGTGGAGTTATGACAGAATCATCGTTTCGACTCATGTATATGTGCTGTTACGCATAGGGTAGTGATATCTGTATCTCACCGTCAAGCAACTCCTCTTGTAATTCCAGTACCTGCCTGAAGTAGGTCGTGTTCCGAGCGTTCCAAAGTGTGATGTAGTTCATTTCATTGCCAACTTGAAGTGGTCTGATATCCACATACAGTCGATCCTTGTGACACCCTACTCCTAAACCCCTCATCTGCTGTCTTAGAAAGGGCGTACAGGATCTGAACAACATTTTAGCCAAATGAACTAGTTCAGAATCATGCCGATACCCGGGGGGCCTCAACTCAACGGCCTGTCCTGTTTGGAATCTATACATTTCCTCCACATGCCTAATATCAAAATTTATCATATTTACGGACTGTGTCCGGTATCCGGAACCCTTAATTATTTCTACTTTATCGTCATATTCCTCGGAAATAAGATCTAGACACATAAGCAGCGACGAATCTACCCGCAAATAAGGTCTATTTGGACAACTCATATCTTCGATTGTGTAAAATTCAGATAGATGGGTTTCTTTGTCAAAACCGGTGAACAGGTTTGGAATTATAGCTTCATTTTCTAGTGATTCTGGGTAGAGGTATTCTATTTGCTGATGTGGAGGAGGGGCAACAGCAAGCCTAGCAATGTCCTCATGAGAAAACTCTACCCGTATCCCAATGAAATCTTCCTGACTCTTGACAAACACCTCGATAAATTGGGGGCTTGAAAAATTCATGAAATCAAAACCAGAGCATGCAGCCAAAACTGCCAATCTATCTAAACTTGAAATTGGCGAACTTGTGAGCTGCATTCCTCTGAAAATATATTAAATATCATTGGTTTATGACAATATTCATGACAAAATCATTCATATAACATTTGTGGAAAACATTATTGAAATTGATTAACGTAGCACTTATTAATTGTTTGGGTAAGTTTGCTCTAACTAGCATTGGTACTATATGCTGATGGTCAGTCTCCTCGCAAAACCTGGAACATCCTTACAACATGCCTTTCAACACTTTTTTTCCACACTTTTTTTACAGCCTGGTTAAATCGGAAAATAGTTATCTCAAATGATTGATATCTGAACTAATGTGTGATTTGCATGTTCCTATTTAGCAAGTAGAGAGAAACCAATGTTTTCTTAATTAACAAACCCAGTGAACTACCAATCATACAAGCCTAGTATAGTTTTCAAATAAAATGGCTAACTATCTCTATTGTCGACTTATCTGTTGAATAAGATGACGAAATGAAAAGAGTGATTTTATCAAGGGTGCGGTGTTGAATGATGACGGTTCCTAATTAACACATTGGATCTTAGACGTGAATCTTAGGTCCTGCAAATTATATGTTAAAGGGGCACTGATCTAACGCAATCCCCAGGACTGGTTGTTGCCTTTTGTTATTGTTTTTTCCCCAGTGAGTACCCGGATGATACGCAACGCAACTGAGCGTGACCAGAGACTGGGCTACCGTCTGCAAAGACAGCTAAATAAACTTGGAGGCTGGAGGCAATATTTGTTTTACGCGTTTTTACATAAACACTGATTGGTTAACTAAGGGCGCATGTTAATTAATTTCTTCAGCCTTAACAAACAGACAAAAAGAACGGCGGAGCTCATCGGATGTCGTCATTTAGAAATACCCCAGATGGTTATAGTTTAATACTAAAAAAAGTATCCATGCAGTGAAAGCATTTTCGGATTTCGGCCTACGTCGATAATACGATTACTACTCCCTTGTTGTCATCCACGTTTTCTCGTATAACCCTACACTTGTGTATTTGTCGTCATTTACTTGATGCTCAGTTAATGAATTTATTACAGGTACAATTAGTGGTAGCACCACTTAGATTACTTGACAAAGGTTTCCATTTGGCATTTATTGTGTCTTGGGTAATTATTCAATCTAAATCCAGGTTTGAAGTGAGGTGAAATGTGTGTTATGTAATATGCACGTGGCAGCCCAGCAAGAGATGAATGATCAGTTGATTTACTTTTTTTGTAAATCAACGGATCGTTCCTAGTCATCAAAGTATTAACAGAAAATACGTTGATTGATTAATCACTGTTATCTTGCACAGTGGATATGTCAAGAGTGAGTGTTTACATGTCTAAGTTTACTAAAACAAAGGGAATACACTCATATCATGGCGTGAAGTGCCGATGTAAAAACAACATACTTTGGTCAAAGGGTTAACTGATAATACGTTGATTGATTGATCATTGTTATCTATCACTCAATGGATTTTTTTAGGAACCGTGGACGTTATGAAAATAGTTGTCACGTGGGCTTTCTCAGCTGACCATTGAGACTTGACACCTATGTGAAACACCTGAAACAATCTAAGTGATCAGTTGAGAAACGAACACGGGTTATTATATCCCAAAACGATATATATATTTTAAAATATTTGATTGTTACAGAGACACGTGACATCGAATAAGTTTCTTTGTACAGCTGCAGACGAGTGGGTTATTGTTCCTTTGTGTGGATATTTACGGATACATTCCTCGAACAAGGAAGCTGCCTAAAATTTATACACATAAATTTGGTAGGTTGTAATTATGATATTTGCATTTTGTTTTCCTTCATTAGAACCGATTCGTTCTTGTTTCTCTACGTCTTGGTTGGGAAATTCTTCAATGCGCGATAGACGTTGTTTTCACAGGTCCTTTTCCTTTGTAAGCGTGTATATATTACCGTCAATTTGTAAAATGTGATTCTCTCAGGCAATTTATAAAATGTGTAAATATTTCAGTCATTTTGACTAAAAAATCTGTCCAGATTGATTAAGACGATCAAAAGGGCCTACAGACATCACAACAGATTATTATGTAGGATTAGAAGCCAAACAACATAGAAATGTACTTTTCAACGTAACATTTTCAGTCTTTTGGTGATGACTTTAAAAATCAAAATGTTTGGAATTCGTTATCATAATAATACAGATGGAAATGTTTTTCAGTCACTTTGTAAAATAACTGAATATTTAGACGTTTAATAAATTTGTTACACATTTGACAGTAAAAAAAATATACACACTTTAAAAAAGAGCAATGCTCAGGTGAAATATTTACTTTGTGATGCAAGTGAAAATAGTGTAAACGAAAATCGCAAAATTACCAAGCAAGTGACTTATCAAAACTTCATCACCATTACCGATACTACTCACAAAGATACCTACATTTCCTTATTATCTCGAAAACTGTATTTCAATTTGTTGATCAATGTGACCATACGCCCTTATTACTACCCATAAAAGTGACTAATGCGCTTACGAATGGCGCAGCAGGGGTCGCGAACTAGTCCAGATTTCTGCTATACATCCGGGTACTCACTGGGAAAAAACAATAACAAAGGCAACAACCAGTCCCGGGGAATTGCGTTAGATCAGTGCCCCTTTAATGATTATAGAGTTCAGCGGTTGCAGAAACACAGGTCATGTACCTTCCTTCCCTGTAATGCAGTGGCACGTCTGGTTGTTCAGTAAATGCTCTTTCAACGTTCACGCCTGCAAAACAATTAAAAACAAAAAATGCAGCAGCTATTTCCATAGTATTAGTTCATTTATCTTATACACCTCCATTTTCTGTTATCAATATGACATTAAGTGTTCTTCTATGACGTTTAGTTTTGTGTGAGTCAGGCTAACAAAGTAAAATATGTAAAACCAACATTTGTTATATAACCGTACCTATGGCTTCTGTCTGCGCAAGTTTAGCGAGTTGTTTTAGCTTTAGTGCCATCCTGGGTGTCATAAGCCGATTACTGCAATATGACCAAGGCTCTGTTTGGTTTCTGGAGGGAAGACAAGGTGTTCTACATCTTCGTGTAGAGAATCCACACACATTGGTGGAGTTCCCCTCAGGCCTGAACACAACATCACTCCTGTCGTAGTGATACAGCCTGGAACAGAGTATCTTAATTAAAGTAAAGAATAAACAATTTACCCGAGTACCGTATTCGACGTAATAAGCGTCCCGCTCTAATAAGCGCCCACGGCGACATTTGCTAAGATATTGGCTAGTGAACAATCCCAATTATCACCCCTTCCGATTGATCAATGTACACAAGACTTATTTATTCGCGTATAATACGCACTTGTGTGTTATATGCACCCTTAATTATGGGCCTTTAATTCTGGAAAAAATATATCTGTCGTACATAAATATTTTAGGCTGTCAACATAAACAACGAAATTTATCTTTCAACTCAAAATAACATTCTAATAAGTGCCCCCTATTTCTAATTTTGAGAGCGCCCTAGGCGCTTATTACGTCGAATACGGTAAACATTTAAGCATGGAATAGCATGGAACAGACTGCTGTAGTCAGCAGCTTTGCAGTGTGGCATGTCGTATTTTCATACCTTTCCATGTCTTCATAGTTCACCCTGCTCAGAACACCTTGAGGTGGACCACACACTTCATCTACACCTTCTCCAGAAGGAACGGTATCGCCTACATTCAAGGTGGGGGCCTCTCTCACACAGTTTTGAAATCGACTGTCATTAACTGCGAAACACACAAAAAACAAAGTCAATTGCCAATTTGCGTTTCACCTCGAACGAACTCCTCATTATATTTTACATGAGATACCACTACTTTGTAACAACACTGTTTATACCGTATAGGAGATATATGTAATGGAATACAATTGAATATACTGGATCAAAATCAGTGTTCAAAAGCAAACGAAACAGCTTGTATAGGGCATAAAGGTAAAGGTGTGATGGGAATAATATAAATGGATCACAGAAAATCAGTGACACAAATCAATCTTTACCATCGTCAGCAATAAGATCTTCAAACATTGCTTTTTCAGTGTTAGTGTTTGTCACACCATCCCTCTTCATCGCAACATGGGCAACAGCGAGGTCTCTGTTAATGCTGACATAGTCAAATCCGGAACAGACACACAGAGAGCCAAGTCTATCAATGGTCGTATTGGCGGCTAAAAGAGGATACAGCAATGTTAATCAGACTTTAGATTTGTTTCGTGTTCAGTCAGGTACATTAAACAAATGACATTGTATTACTATGCGTAAACAAAAATATATACAAACATAATGTTAAAGCAAAACATATATACGGTATCATTTTCATACAATGTCTGTTATGAAACACATGCCAAAGACATCGTTGCACGTATGATTTGAATTTGAAATTCTAACTTATATATGAGATGTGTTTAACATTACTGTTGACATGTTCATCCTTTGAATACAGATTTGTACAATGCAAATATGATTAAACATTCGATGCATAATGTATTTGTGAGTGTTAAAATCACCACTATTTTTGAATACAAAAACAGTTATATCTATATCTGCAATGCTAGGTTTGGAAATATTTGTGATCACGTTTCTTGACTATGTATTAAGTTAAACTTAATCACCATTGTTATAGCCAAAAAGGTTTTAATTGTCTGAGACTATTCAGGTCTCCCGATGGGATAAGTTACTGTACAAGACAAATGATGATTTTATTTATTATGCAATTTCTTTCTGATCTTCATTATCTTATTCTGAAAGCATTGACGTCATCGATGTAGACTGGAAGATGTGCAGTGAAATAACAGTTATAATGCAGTTGGTTATTGCATCGTATAGCTCAAATGGACATCACTATCATAAGACGACGGCACCTTATCTCACTAAGTGTAGGTCACTCCAATTTAATAAATGGCCGTATTTTGAATAAAGACGAGCCATAATTATGTATCTATGGTAGTCGCCTAATCCGTGTTTGTTGGTTCCACCAAAGTTGTAAACGTATAAGTTGCAAACGTGATAAGAGCCTTTCATAGTCGTTGGATAATAACTAATTTCTATTTAATATTTATTGATTACATTTGCATATCATGACATTGTTATTGTTTTTTCCGTTGAAATACTTGACCTGAGAGAACACACACAAAAATATAATGGTGAGGTTTTTTGCTGAAATGACAACATAGTATTGTCCGTAATAATGTGTTTGTATGAACGTATACCTGGCATTCCTGTCACCGTCACTACAGCAGCTCTGCCTTCATAGTGTAGTGAACTGTTTCCATGGTGTCCATCAGGAAAGGCTGGGCTTGGTTCATCCCAGGCAGCTAGTACTATGAGCGTAGCTATGGGACATAAATTCTAGTTTTATCACAGGCATGGCATCATAGTGACCCTTGTTCTAACCCAACATAGTCATTGGCGTATAGTTTTTCTCAAGTCATTACAAATTTTCAATCTTACGTTTTCTACTGAAACAGTCGGATTTCCAGTGTATTTCAAAGGCGAATAATAGACTAACGGGATCGGGTGGTCAGACTCGCCGACTTGGTTGAAGTATGTCATCGTGGGGCGATGCTCATGATGTCAAGCACTGGAATGTCTGGTCCAGACTCCAATATTTACAGACCGTTGTCAAATAGCTGGAATATTGCTGAGCGCGACGTTAGACAACAAACAAACAAAAATCAAAGGCGAATTAGGAAAACAGTTCTGATATAATCAATATTACCAAACATTTTGCAAATGTATCATATATCACACATATTTAATGTGTTTGCACATTACTTTCATTTCATGAAATTACCCCTTAAACCCTGGCAAGAAATGTGCCTCAATAAATTGTTATGGGGAAAGACACGTACATACCATTTGACCACTCTATTTTGACCATTTGACTTAGTTTAGTGATTGCACGTGCGAGACGAGCTGTCACATATCGACTGGCGCAAATGGTTGTTGAATCGGTGCTGTTGCATAGTGAACATGACAATGGGGTCAATTCACAAAGTTCACTTTCCTCAGCGGCAAACACAATGTCCGTTCCTTCCAGAACCTCGAACCTACAAAAGAAACAGAAACTCACAAAAGAGGGTTCTTCAAAGTTGGATATGTCATGATCCAGATTTCATCAAGAAAAGGTGTAAAGTTCACACCCAAAAACCTTGGAACCTGGTCCTCTCCAAGTTGCTCTCGAATACATTGAATAATAAAATAATTCAAACATGTCAACTTACCCATTGAACTGACTGCTGGTCCTCGACACCCTGTCGCTCATTGCGCCACAAACCTGGTCCTGTGTGAGAGGAGGGCCGAGCTCTGCGGGGCCATCACAATGGGCCAGACAGGTAATGGACAAACTGGACTCTGTGAGAGTCTCTCTTTTCGATATTTGCGGATTTAACATAACATCCCTGAAATAACAAATATTGTTACTTTGACTTATTAGTAATGCAAGTTGATGATATAACAAAATATAATGTCAAGAGTTATGACAAACGGCAACTGTCGTTGCGTGCTCCAGTCAGTAAACTTCTATAGCTTCATGACGACGGCCTGTTCATAATCGACAGGGCACGACAAATCAGTGGTCGAGCATAAATGATATATGATGACACAATCAATTAGGTCACATATTGTAACCGCCCTTATCATATTTGTCGGGTTTTGAATTTCCTGCCCTTGTTCTCCATGGGTGTTTTTAAAACAAACGGTTTTTATGCCATGGGGTGATCCCCAGTGTTAATCCAACAACCTTTCTTATTTCTCTAAAACTACGCAGATTTAACGTTTTCATATAACTTTCGTATATCAGCGTTGTCTCGTACTTACCATATGTTTAATCCAAATGCTTCAACAGAGAGAACTGACTTTTCAACAGAAAATAATCCATCTACTGCAAGTGTCGCTTCTGTGCATACTTCTAGTCCATTAATGACAGATTCCATTTTCATACTTGGTTTTACTCTGTGTCAATACAAAGTCTATATTTGAGCTGTATGTATTTATATCATCAGGCGACTTTGTCACATTTTACAATTATTGGTAACCTGGTATCTAAACTGATGTCCTAAAGAAAGTGCACCAAGGCTTTCAGAGACGTTTGAAGCATCGCGAAGTCATGTTGAACGTAGAACATATGTATTGAATGAGAGTGGCGAATAAGCATCATATGAACAAAATTTCACTCCATAAAAGCAGTAACAATGACACAAAGATATAGGGGGTCAAAATAAGATCATTCACAGTGTGTAACAAAAGACTTGTAAGTCACTGTAAAGTCATAAATCACCGTTTTAATGTTGAGTAATACCTCGTGCATCAATGCGGGCCACAACCGCACCGCATCACCGCACCGATGGCATCAAACGCCTTATGAACGGGATAGGCGTTGCTATGTCTCGATGAAACATCGCTCAAGGTTCAAACGGTTGATTGGTGGCAGCGGTCGCCTTCTGACTTGCGTGTTCATGCTGTTGAGGAAGTCCCGTGTCAGCCTTGTAGTATGGGGTCTAGGGTTATCATGCTGGAATACTATTAACGCGTGGCTGTTGTTGGATAAGAGGCATCACAACGGGTCGCAAAACTTCATCCAGATACCTCTGTTGCCTCGTCTCCACAGGCCATGACACCACCGCCTCTTAATGGCTGAACTTCCTGGACACGTTTCGGCGCTCTGTGTTCACCTTGACGTCTGTCTACAGTCATCTCAAAACAGGCAAAACCTGCTCTCATCGGAGAAAAGGACTCGACCCCAGTCTCGAACCTGCCAACGCCGAACCCTCCATGGACATATCAACCGGTTATATCGGTGTTGTGGCGTCACGTCATTCCACAGCTGGGTCGATGTGTTCGGATGCCATGTTCCCTCAATTGCCGCGACTCTGTGTGTCGACTGACACGATGTTGCTGTCGCGGGGATAAAGCGGTGTCGGAGATGAAGTCCACGGATGTAATGGTCTTCAGTGGGCGCGGTCACGCGAGGTCTCCCACTCCTAGGTGTCTGAACTGTCTGTCGTCGTCGACAAAGATTTCGCAAAATGCACGTTTTTCATTATATTTATATTTAAGCTATATTTCATCGAATACACTTGGTTGTATTTGTTTCACATATTTTACCACGATTTCATTTCTATGTGAGTACATGTAATTAAACAAAAAAACGTTTTGGCGTACTTTCTTTTAGACGTCAGTTTAGTCCACGCTCATGTTTACAATCTGCCAAACCAAATTGCTTGATTATTTCATCACTATTTGTCTCATTTACATGTTAAACCAATGAAATTACATTATGTGTTATGTCAAGTTATATACAATGAACAAACAGACACATGTAAACAAGCAATGTGTATCTACATTATTTCCATTGGTGGGTACAGGTTGATCGTTATGTCCTTTACTTTCCAGGAAACAGATGCGTTGAAGAAAATCTGAAAAGTTACAGCATGCTGTTTAGACAAAAGACTATTTGCGGTCATTGTTACTGTTCTTCAAAATATGTATATATTCTTAGACATTTGGCTAGGATACATTTGTTATTAAAATTCTTCACTTTTTGTATATTGAATATATAAACCTAAACAGGGCTAACGGCAAACCTCAGCATAGTGAATTGTGGCGCCGGCCGTGCCACCTTGAAACACTGAGCCGTCAAAGATAATATCTGTTATTTGATATCACTAGATTAATGAAGGTTGATCTTGACATTTAGGGTGCGAAACTACACGTTATTGAAGGTATTTTTGACAATGACCTTCCAGACCAAGCAATCAAACACCGGAAATATTATGATTATGTGGAATCATGCAGTCAAACAATTCTATCAGCCCTCTGATTCGAATCTTGAAACTTGAGTCAACAATGCGGACATTAATAAAACGACAAATTTGAACATGTTTCTGTGATTGTCATGCTCTGTTAAGACATCAATGGACATGCGATTGCGATCCTGAATTGTTAAGTGATATTACAACATGTTAACCTTATATTTGCAGATGTACAAGCTAACACACACACACACACAAATATTTACACACACTCACACACACACACATATATAGTCACTCTGACCATCTGAGGTATGATAAGCTAAAACAACTCAACTAATGCTTTCAACTAATACCTTCTGGAAAATATCTACTGTAACGTTGAGTGTATCTGGAACATTCATTTCCACCATGTCCTGTCCATCTGAGGTCCAGGCGTGAGATGTGATGTCTCCGTGTAGTGATGATGATGCTTCAAACTGTTGAGCTGGAAAGGGGTAACATATACTATAATAAATAAACCGAAAGTTTATACATCAAGTCTAATCTGAAACGTCATGCCTAATAACACTGATAATACTTTTACCATAAACGCAGAGACGTTGAAGTTCATTGTAAGCACCTATATGACTAATATATGCCATTTATAAGATAAAGGCACAAATAATATAATAGAAGGAAAATAAATCTCTCGCCATGTGCATAGTGATTAGATGTATATTTACGTTTTGCTTTGATAAATTCATTGCAAAGTAATATCACGAACATCAGTAAAATATCGCGTTTTTCACAACAACGTCTATACACCCTTTTGAGGAATAAACGAGCAATCTAACAATGTCATTTGGGTTATTCATCCAAAGACACATTGGGTATCATTTCTGAACTGAAGTAGAATGTAGAAACTACCCAAAGTCATCGATATAGTGACACGACATCCACTTATGACAGACACGTGTTATGAATCGTCAGTGTCGTTTACAACATGTCATGTAACACATATAAGACCATACGAAATTCAAGAAACAGGAAGCTTGTTAGCATTACATTAATGACTCCACATATCACCAGAAAGGACACATATGTACATGTATTACCCTTTCATCACACTGACATTCTTATACTATCAAATTGTTCCATGTTTTGGTGAAGACGTCCATCTACATATAATCGAAAAAAACTGTAAATATACACACATATTGTATATCTGCCACTTGCTCTGAACCCTGTCCTGCCTCTAGCAGAGTCTCTGGAGTAACCAAAGACGCTAGCCAGGGCTTGTGTATTGTAAGCAAGAGATAGTTCCACAGGAGGTAGTCGCCTGACCACTGCCACAGGTATGCGTATGAGCTGTATCGGCCCAGTCTCCCAAAGGGGTGTTGTGTAGTTCACACCCATTTCCTGGCTAAATTCCACTTCAATGTCAGCCCGTAGTTGGGATACACCTTCAAGCTGTAAGACAAGAATTAAACATATGTGAATGTGTGTCGAACATCTGTTGGGAATCAACTCGTTAAGTTTATTTCAGTCACAATAAATCAGCAGTTATCATTAAGTAATTAATTGATAGTTATATAGAAGGGTTTGGTGAAAATAGCTGGCATTTTCATGTGTTCATAATGAAATTACTTTGATGCTTCTCACCTGTGATATGTATTTCAGCAGTTTCGGCTTGTTGTTGACCTTCTTTATGAGTAGTTCACTGTAATTATTAAATAGGAAGTCTTTGGTCTCACAAATTCAAGGTAGTCCATACACCACAACACGCAGCCAAAGCAAAGTAATCGCGCGTTGAGTCACAAAATCATTGGTCATGGGTGTGAAGACCTAATTCCCAACAACTATGATCGCCTGTGTTCACGGGTTTCACCCATATTAAAACGTCTACAACATGCTTAGCTTTGGATGTTCCTTCCAAATTACTTTAAGACTGCCTGACGTTATTGAAATACTGAAACCACTAATTCAAATATTATAGTCAGGGAGACAACAGTCGATTTGCATATATGTATTTGTCTTTACGTGGGGATTCCGGGTCAGAATTGGTCTCCAACAACCTATCTTGGTCGTCAGAGGCGACCACAAGGATCGTGTGGTCAGGCTCGGTAACATGGTTGATTGCGTGCCATCAAACCATACCACAAGTGATCTTTGTTCACAATATCAGTCACTGGATTGTCAGATGCCTTCTCGATTATTTACAAGCCGCCATTTTGTACCTAAAATATTGTTGAATGCGGCGCTGGAAACAAAAATACGAAACATAACGCTAGCTGTTGTGGTATGAACACACGGAAATGCACTATTACAATATACTTACAACACATATGACATATCTGTTCCTCCGTGACAATCTATGCACCTCAGGGTAAAGTCATCCTTCAGCATAAGAAGGTCCTCTTGCGACGGGGAAAAGGACACATCTACCTGTCTCGATCCAAAGGTTTTGTGGACTGCAAAGTATTTGTCAGCAGCTTTGGTTTGATTATTATGTTCATTGAATGGAATTCTGGTTGAGAAATTTGCGTGCCAGTTGAGATTGCCGAGTATTTTGGTGAGGATGTTCGACAAGTAACGGCGATGACGTAGTTTAGTCTCAAGCGGTAGATCAGGTCGTCCAGGGCTGTAGCGGAAGTGAATGTTGGCTTCTTCTATCATGTCATATGGCCTTTGAAATGAAAGAACATCCATTTGGTCAGCATACTATGTTATATTTTCGCGACATTTTCACATTACGTGTACTGTTAATGACATACACTCTTTAAGACACGAAAATGTTACAAAGGAAATATACTAGCCACATAAAGAAACTGTGCACGGAGAAAATATATTCTAGATTGAAATACAACACAGCAAGAACAAAATGATGCAGACGCTGTAGCAGCTGAATGATCGGACCATAAGAAAATGTCAACGGGACCTGAACAACATCTGTTACGATGACGTCAGAAGATCAAAATGGAGTAGGGGTTCATACGACAAAGTCACAAAGTCAATAAAGGGTATGAACACCCTGTGCGTGAATAACAGCAGTGCATCGGCGACGCATGGAGTCCACCAAATGGGCATGGAAGGCCTGGGGAATGGCCTGCCATATCCTCCTCAAATCCTGTGCCAAGTCACGGACGTTATCTGGAGGATGTGGAAGACGACGCAGACGGCGTTCCATTTCATCCCACACATGCTCTGTTGGGGAGAGATCTGGAGAAACTGCAGGCCATGGCAGTAACATGACATTGTTATGGTGAAGGAAATCCATTGCGACCCTAGCCGTGTGAGGACGAGCGTTGTCCTGTTGAAATGTCAATCCCGGGCCATGACGTTGCAGGAAAGGAATGACCACAGGCCTCAGAACCTGATCTCTGTAGCCAACACCGGTGAGATTGCCCTGAACAACCACCAAAGGTGTTTCGGTGCCGTGCTGTTATCCCACCCCAAATCATCACAGAGCCACCTCCAAAACGATTCCTCTCCACAATCCAGTTGCGTGCATAACGTTCTCCCAAACGCCGGTAGACACGTTCGCGCCCGTCACTGTGGGAAATGTTGAACCTCGATTCATCTGTAAAGACAACATTTCTCCACCATATTTGAGGTTGGCGAACATGATTTCGACACCATCTTAGACGGTTGACTCGATGACGGTGTGTCAGGATGGGACGTATGGCAGGACGTCGTTGACGAATCCCGTACTGACGTAAACGATTCCTGAAAGTGTTGGGATAGATACGGCGCAGTCCAAGAATTGTCTGGGACGTCGTTACTGCCGTTTGGAACCTGTGTCGGAGATGTGTCACTCGAATCCATCTGTCCTGTCTTGTTGTCGATACTCGGGGACGTCCTGAACGTGGATGGTCGGTAATGTCATTTGTGTTCTGATAACGCCTCACCAATGCCGATATCGTGTTACGATGGCATTGGAAATGTGTTGCCACCTGTTGTTGCCTCATTCCCGCTCGGATCATTCCAATGGCTTCATGACGCTGTGCAGCTGTCAATCTTGGCATGATTTGCTTGTGATATGCTTGTGTCTGCGCCTGAGAAGTTTTGAATTTTTGAATGACCACAGATCATGCTTTCCAAAGTGACAGCGAATTTTGAGTTGCACATGCTGTGTACAGCTGCACATGATGCACGTGCAGTAACACATTGCACGTCCATAGGCCCCCGTCAATGACGTCATATCGCATGGCACGTGCATGGCGTTTGAATGTCTCCAATAATTGCTGTGTTCAAACCTATATTTCATATATGGACGGTGTGCCCTTATATCTATATTTTCTCCGTGCACAGTTTCTTAATGTGGCTAGTATATATCGGGTAACTAAATAGATTAAAAATACTCTAGCTCTGGAAGTTCAGAATCAACAATGACCCTTACTTAAAGTTCGCACAGACACTAGACAACAGCATGAAAGAAACTGACAAGTGTTATTCACCTGCTTGTGGAATTACTATTCAATATTATTATTATCAACAAGTTGGCCTAGTCAGTAAGAGACTGTGTATATTATATTGTGATGACTTCACATGAGTTCAGACTTTTTAAGATACAATATATCCAAAGCCAGCATAAATAAATTAGTTTATTAATTCATTGCAGCTTCGTGTTCCCTAGTACAGAAAAGAAATGTCGCCATATATATTCACTACTTTCTTTACTTGATGCAATCCACCACATACGTAGTCCTGCCAAACATTCATGCTGCATGTGACTCGCATACTTGTGAATGCATTACGTACTTCAAGAAACATCAAATTTATGATGTAAAATGCCTTCCTCCTCACATTTTGAAACCTTTCACACAGAAAAAACATAGTTTATTGTGGCCTCAACCATCCATTTTACTCGCGTGTTCACACTAGAATATTCCCTAATGCACTGCCCGTTTACAGCTCCAGTCATCTGGCAGAACGCGACACTATGTTTAAAATTTGTGTGAATAAAAGAAATGAAATGCCATATACAAAACATAGCAACAGTGAGTTGCAAGGTTATATAATATGCCAAAAGGATGATTGATGAACACGGAATGTCCTATGGTGATACTCTACCATGACACACTTATTGCTGGTGACAAGAAACGTTACGGTTATTCATATTGATCCGCTACTTTAGACTGATTCTTCTCACATGTTGAAGAGCTTCAGGTTTGCGTTGCCTGCGGGTTTTATTATATTTATAATTGTTATCTTACACTTGAAACACATTCAACTTAGCAGCTACTTGTGACAGTCGATAACAATATTTTCATAGCTTCAAAATCATATTTCCTACTTCAGACAGTTACAGGGTTTCCCAATTGTTGCAGAAAGTTCATACTAAACATTTATCTCACTAAACATTTATATATTAATTTCTTTGAATTAAAGAATCCAGTAGTCTGCTAAATGGGTCTTGCTCATGATGGTTGGTTCGAATCCCTTACATTGTTTTTAGGTTTTCATGATGATAGTAATCCTACAAAATCCTACTCACCCACCCACTCACTCACTCACTCACCAACTCACGTGTTAGAATCCAAACAAGTTCTCACAGAATTAAGATTTGGGGCCTTACATTTATACAAGGACGGCAAATAGTAAGTGGCTCCATGTACTCCAGAAATTTTATATGAACGAATCACTGAAAATCAGTGATGACACAGGGTGTTCGCGAAACGGATAAGCATATGCTGCCATACAAGTAGCACCTGCCACTATTTGCATACAAAGGAAAGTGTATGTTTGTTGTCTGACGCCACAGCAGTACCCCCGCCAGGCGACAGCGGGATGGGGACAACAGAGACAATCATGATCAAGTGATGGGCAAGAAATTCTGTCACACGACAGCGCATTTACTGATCCTATTGAAACTAAAAACTTAAATTAACTTGTGAGTGTCGCTTTCATAGGCGTTCCGCTTGTTAGGATGTGTATGTGTAAAATTCCCCGTCACTGTGCTTTGACACCAAATGTGATAAACAGAGATTATGTTCAACATTATATCCTGCTTTAGTGTCATCTGAATTTTCTCTCTGTAAACAATGATAAAATTCAATCTCTTTTCAAGGACACCTTCCAGAAGATGTCGCAAATATTAAATGATGTTAAGGCTAGATACTATCCATCAAAATGACAGAAACGTTTTGCAAACAGCAAGATGGTTTGGAGATCACCCGAACACACTCCCCTATTATCCGCCCTCATTGTATTCCTTGATTAAGTCCATTATTTCAAGTCGGCGTTTTTAGATCGTCTCAAAACTTTATTTGCGTGCTACTTTTTTTTCGGCGTTCGAAAAAGTAAGCAGGGCAGTTAATTGTCGGAAATTATCGTTACATACTTTCACATTTGCCCTGAACACATTTGCTGGAAATCACTAAACAAATCTCCCTACTTGGAGTATATTTCCTTTTCGCAAACTGTGTGAGTAGCTGGTGCTACCGGTAGGGCCTGACATGCTTACCCTTTTCGCGAACACCTGGTGTCATCTTCAGTGATCCATTCATGTCAATATTTTCACCGTCTTTTTTATCTTTTACGCCCAATGGAATCTGCTTCGGCAGATAATCGAGACTGGTTATTCTCTGGTCTGAATATAAAATATTATCCATTACTTTTGTTAAATAGCCCCTGTTTGCAAATATAGTTCCCAAGGCAAAGCATCTTTGTCATCGGTTGTATTTTTCTACATTTTACGAAAGCGGTTTAATCACAACACTTCCTTCCCTCCACTTCAAGTATCCTATGGCTCTACAGAATTGAGTGGCTTCTGTCAACCGTTATCACTGGTAACCGCCTCAATTGCTGTCATCCGTCTTACTATCTCCGACCTGAGCACCAGCTTGTGGTCATGATTATGTTATCATTTTATCTGTAGAGTCATTTCCTCCCATAGAAGTGTTATCTGTCACTGAACTTCTGCTGAGGCCTGAAGGAGTTTCTATTATCTCCACGAAATAAAAGACAAACCAATACGTTCGCTCATCGTTCACCACTACTTCACCGCTGAACTTTGCAGGAGTGTGTGATGGTTAGAAAAGACATAATCTCAGTTATTTCTTTAAAAAACAAACTCGAATTACTTTCTTTAGCCCTTTATATATATTTATAAATACTCTACAAAAAGTAGGGGATATGAGATATAAGTGTTATGATTGGTCGTCGGATGAAAATCAGGTTTGACATCCGTGCTGTATGCTGCAATACACCGTTGTCGTTGGCTGCAGTTGGGAGGACGTGTGGTAGGGGACGACGTATGTAGACCCGTGCTCTTCCATCCCCTCGTCGGAGAAGAAATCATTATTCGTCGCTCAACCTGACATCTCTCCGTTGCAGTTGAGGCCATACCCTGTGTTGACGACACCAAAGCAGTTGTTGTTGTCAATGTCGACTCAATATGACGTCTTGCTCGTAGACTTGCTGCTCTTAAACGGTTTCGTACGGTCTGGTCGCAGATTCTACGCAATCCGGGTATTTGGGATGCTGTTGAGGTGGCTTTGATCGTCATTTCACGTAGTTGGCGCGGTCGGATCTAGCGATTTAGGGTGGTTACCCTTGGTCGTCCCGACCTTGTTGACCCATGCTGTTGAACCGATCCCATAGCCTTGAGATGTTGCTGGGCGCTACATTGAAAACCCTGACTACAGTTGATCGGGATTCCCTTGCCTGTAAGCGGCCTATGACGTTGTTTCTTTGCACTTCTGTTAATCTTGGCATGCTGTTGAACTGTCACTGTTCGATTGACCCAGATGTCAGGCAATCATTAACCCTGCACATTAATGCCGTTCATAGTGCTGTTGCACTTGCAGTGCGTGCAGCTCCATGGCCTTTTTGTTTTTGTCCGAATCGTACGTGTTTCCCGACCAATGGTTTGTACGTCCTTGGTGTGATCGTTTTGATCCGGGAAATGTGTCACTGACACTATAACACATTAAACCTCTTCATTTTGCACCTCTTGGTACGCTAATGTTGCTTTTATGGCTAAATATATCCGTATTGCGTTTCTTTTTTTAAGAGTACATTTATGACTTTTTGTATACACAACTGGCAGAAAAACGCTTGATCGGGACATGTCAAATAATGATACCCGCGTTCTTTTTCAATATGAACAGCACGCAATAGTTGTTTAGGTAACAAGGGCTCATAAAAACAATTTAGTGCAACCGTTTATACTTTCTAAAAAAAGCGACTACGCGCAGGGGTGTCTGTTGGAAACAGGTTAGGCGCAAAACATTGCCAGACATTTTAATGTTCATCAAAACACAGTGTCATCTCTTTGGAGACATTATCTAAAACAGGGCAACGCTGATGAATTACCAGTTCCGATCGTTCACGTGTAACGTTACAACAATAAGACAAACATCTACGGAATCTACGGAATCGATACCAAACTGCCACATTGGCAGAACCGTACGCTATCGGCTGATGTAGCACAAAATCAGGCGCCACGTCAATTGATACGACCAATTTTGCTTTCACGTCAACGTCAGGCACGCCAAGCTTGGTGTAGACAACATCCGAGGTTCAGAAAACAATACTTCGACGGTGTACTGTTCACAGATGAATCCAGGTGTCATCTGGACAGCTTTGCTGGTCGTGCAAGCGTCTGCAGGTGTCCAGGAGAACGTTTTAGCGACGCTTGTGATACTTTTGTGCTTCGTCAGTTTCTGGTGGAAGTGTATGGGTATTGGGTGGCATGCCAACTCATAGGAAAACACAGCTCATCATTGTTGATTGCAATTTGAATGACGTACGCCACCAGAACGACATCATTCGAGATCATGTTCTACCCTTTGGACAAATACAGGGACGTAAAGTAACGTTAGAGCAACATAATGGCATACGATACAGGTGTATAGCCTTGCTGTACTGTTATGGCCGCATGTTTCTCCAGACTTCCAGAACACGTTTTGGATGAGAAGGAGCGAAGCCTACGACAGGACCAGAACCATCCGGTAACTTCAGACAATCCATTGATTGACGCCATGAGCATCAATCTACGCAATTGGGATACGATGCCATGCATCAACAAAGTCAGTGAGCCTGACCACCTGATCCCGTTAGTCACCTCTTACAGAGGCTCCCTGGCAAGTTGTTTTGTTCGAAATATGCTGTCAGTGAATAGGTACGCTAAAGGATGAGACTGTAATGTAAATGTTGACCTTTTGCGGCTTAAAAGCAGATTGGTTCGTATACTCCACAGGTCGGTGATAATTAAAAATGAGTGCGCACTGATCTACGCATCCGGGTGATAATACTGAGCTCCATGAGCATTCACTTAAGTGATTTTGCGCATTCTCGTCTTAATTAAAATATATATATATATGTACAGTCCATTGGAAAAAATAGTCGCGAGATCGCGACTATCGTGATCTCGCGTTTTCATTAATATTTGGATATAACCGTCACCACTCGAATCTGCGAGCTCTTTCACCTATTGAAGGCTGCCATGAGTCGAAACGGTGCAAGCAAACAGAATATGTGTAAGGATTGTTGGAATATGATCCCGGTTACTCAAATTAATTTCGAATCATGTTCAAACAAGGGGAAATATACATTGTTCCGAACTGCAACTGATAGCGTAAAGTATTGCGTAACCTGAAGTAGTAAGTTGAAGGACCATGTGCGATGATTGATTAAATACAAACTGTTGTGTTTGTTTACATTCAGGAAACGGTTCACTTGACTATTGTATGGCAGTGTATTTTCTTGTTTTACAATGATTGTAACTGTGTTGGCTGAGATTCGGTAGACGCTCACTGCATTGAGTTTGGACAGTGATAGTCGTCACGAAGTTACTATATTTAGATACTAGGTGTTTGGGTGTGTAAACTTCCGTTTCGGTATACCGCGGACGGTGATAGTATGTCATAGAAACATACGGAAAGTCCTGTGATGTTCTGGTGCTGCTTGACTGGTAAGGACACGGTATAGAAACTTCCAGTAGCTTGCTAGGCTGTACATATTTGGACAGGAGCGAGTAAACGTATCTCTCACACATTTGATCTCTTTTTCATCGCTTCGGAAACAGCTTTCATGTTAAGATCACCCTGGATTCCCAGCCTTTGCCTACCTCGGAAGCTTCACCTCTGTCGCCGCTTGGTGAATATGTATCACTGACTTTTGCTACCACCACTGTGGGGAGTGTAAAACCACGCCATTCAAAGTAATTGTATTAATTAGTGCCACGTTTTTAATCGAAGAATATGTGTTTGTTCAATATCTGGCTAAATTTGTCAACAATCGTCAGCAGCTGAAGGGATCATTCAAATCCTGCTGGGTACCATGTAGGAAGAAGACGTCGATATTGAAAGATTGCGAGGTTTTATGTCTTGTCTAAATGTCGCATTTTTTAGGAAAAACGCCTTTGAACTATAACACGAGAATACCAGATCTCGTGATTTTTGCCAAATTTCGCCTGCTGGTGATCTGTCTTTTAGCCATTTAGCTGGTTTCCAAAGATCGAGATCGCGAGCAAGTCCATAACATTTTTCCATAATTCGGAAACAGATATAAAAATACTTAAATCACTGAATCATAATCACATATCTGTCTCTCTATGACAGAGTGAGTGAGAGAGTTGGGTTCAACGCCGCTTTTAACAGTATACAAGTTATATCACGGCGTGTCAGCTTAATAGAGGAGGAAAGCCCGAAGTGATGCAGGTCTCAGACGTTTACCACGAAACCGCGAGATACACGTTTTCCACGAAACCCACGAACACGGGTATGGTCCTGACAAACCTAGAAACATAATCGGGGTGAACCGGGATTCGAACCCACAATCGTAGGTTTCTAGCGCGCCCAGGGACGCAACTCTGCAGAGCGAATCGCGGCGCCTTAGACGACTGGGCTACCCGTGGCCCCCTATGACAGAGAACATCTTTATGGATTCATAGACACTGAACTTACAAGTCATAAAAGTTTCTGAACATCCTTCGCCATGGGACCGCCTCCGTGGTCTAGTGGTAGAGCGTCCGCCCGGAGAGGGGAAGGTCCGGGGTTCGATCCCCGGCCGCGTCATACCAAAAGACGTTAAAAGATGGTACTTGTTGTTACCCTGTCTGGCGCTCGGCATTAAGGGGCTTAAACAAGGACTGGTCGGTTCGGAGTCAGTATACTGTGTCTGAGTGGGGTATTCATGTTAAACTACGGCATGTTATCTCAGTGGGCTAGCACTATAAATCGGCATCAGTCCGGACTAGTACAAGCAGCCACACAAACACACACACGTACATGCACGTCGCTATATGAGGACGCGACGTTAAACCCCATTTCACCTCACCTCCTTCGCCATTGACAATACTGATCAATTACAATAAGTGCACACTCACCCAGCTTGGACAATATGTATTGAAATACGATTTTCAGTTGGGAAGTAGATGCTGGAGATCTTAGCATATATCCCATCCCCGCCAGATCCCTGTGAAGCGTTGCATCTCCATGCTGTGCTCCCAAGAATAAGCTGACCAACTCTCCAGTCCCTGCCAACATCGTTTTGAGTGGTTACCAGAAGGATCCTGTCATCCACACACACGAGTCTCTGGAAAATAAATGTACACTTGTGATCACAGGAAATGCTTTCAAAAATATTTTGACAATGCTCTCGATTCTCCATTGAAGCGAGAGATAGGCGATGATTTTGACGAAATCAGTCGTACAGCTCGTAACTGTCATTTGGAACACTTCATGTTAACCTTTTCGAGATTGTATGAACACCGTGATACCTCACTTTCCTGATCTTGTTAGCGACGCTCTGTTTAGTTGGATGAAAGGTCGTTTGTTCAGCGGTAGCGAGAACTAAGATCTGCTTTTAATGTGATTGTACATACGAGTGCATTTTTGTTTTAAAATAATGCTTTAAATGGTGTTTTATCTATATGTACAATCGGATCCTGGCAAGACCAAGGGACAAAACTCTAACTACGTCGCCTTAGTTATGTCAGGGCCATCCGTACCTGCATGTGCAAAATCAGAAAATACCTAAAATAACATCGAACCTCAGTCGCCGTAAATATACATGTACACACAAACCTACTTGCAGCCTATCTCACCCACTCACCTTTAGTCCGTCAACGGCATCAAGATCTATAACATCACTGAGGACACCAGAACTATGTAGTTTAAAACGTTCCCCGTTGTCGTCAGTTGTGAAGTCCACGTTGTGGTGGAAGGAATTGTCAGCAGAGAGACTGTGAAGTCCCACCAGAACGAAAAAGAGAACCAGATTCAACATGACAAGCGTGCGGTTTGTTCAGCTCAAAAGCATGGCGCGATTTATACGCTCGATAAGAATATATCCGTTCGACCACCAATTCATTCCTTGCAGGAGTGAAATACAACCCAGCCAAACTTAATTTGTTATCTGCGTGTCACTCACCCTGCCAGTCACGCCCGCTTAACTACTGTAAGAGCATTGGGTAATAAAAATAACCTGTCAGTATATACACTGAGTTATAAGCTAAGGTTTTCACAGAGCTGCGCGAACAACGATATCATGAAGAGCGTTGGCTGGGTGGGAGCAGCCCTCCTGTTGCTGTGCTCATACAGTCAAGGGTATTTCTTTCAAGACGGCTTCGATCATCAGTATACCTACTCCTCTGTGTCTGAACTGTTCGGCCATAAAAATATCACCACTGTTCTCAAGGTAAGTTGACATTACTGTACTGTAATGTGAACTTTTATTTGTTTTAGGTGTTTCGCTCTAGACATTCTTAACTTATTATTCGAAATGTCCATGTTGGTATACACCTCTCTGACTTATAATGGATATAAGTCAGAAAGGCTAAGAGCCCTGCTGTATATTATTACAATGAACAGATTAAAAAACAAAACAACAGAGAGGGTTTGGGTGATCCTGGCACAGTTAGGCTGGTTAGGCTCATCAGCGCTGTGCCCTTTCCCACTCTACACGCAGTCCCGAATGGCTCCCAGGGACTACTTCTTTGTCGGAGAATAGATTTCCCAGATGGTCAGAAGGGCTGTATTCCTGGCAGCAAACCCGGGTACTCTCCCAGTGTCAGTCAACAGATTTTGAAGTACTAATCCTTAGGCACCGAGAACAATAAGGGATACTTGGGATGCAAATGTGGCATGCGTAAGCAAAGCCATGTTTTTCTATCAAAAGGGACAAGATCAGGTTTGTTGGTCTGGATATGTCAGAGGTTGTACACGGGCCTATTCCAAATAATTTAATATATATCCTTTTCCATGAAACCCTCTACATATTCTGGATCGTACCATGGATGGACCTCTGTGACAAAACCACAAGCATGAAATTAAACCAACTGTTATTCAACATGCAGTAGACAGCCTCTTTAAAACATCCTTTTTATTTAGATACCATAAAAATCCCAGGGGTAGAAGGCCCAGGGACTAAGGGCCGATAAATAAAAAATAATAAATTGTCAAACATATTTTATGCCGCCTTCCGCTCGTCCAAATAACTATCAGCTTTTGCATGCTTCTGCAGCTTCCGTCATGCTTTCGGCATTTTTTGTCCTTTGACAAGATCAACTGTTTCGGCAGCCATATTGGATTGAAGGTTTTCAGTGAATTTGTCGTTGTTGAAGATGCATACTTTCCGCAATCTTCTCCTCTGAAGCCACCCGTAGAAACGCATCCACACTTTTCATGTGTCACATATTTTATTGACGCTTCTTTCCAGTGTCCCGATCCTCTGTTGACTGGAGATGAAGCTACATATATTTTAATGACAGTGTGCAGGGGCGGGTCTTTATGGTTTACTGGATGTATCATGGTTATTCAGTAAAATTCTGTTTGAAACCTTGCAGTGCTGTTATTGTAGGAATCTGCATGCCTCTGACATTTTACTGTGTTATTTAAGGGTGCTAAATGGGTTAAGAACAAATTATTTCAAATGGCATGACACTCAGTCAGTCATATTTGTTGTTTAACGCCGCACTCAGCAATATTCCAGCTATATGACGGTGGACCGGACCAGATAATCCAGTGATTGATATCATGAGCATCGATCCACGTAATTGAGATCGATGACATGCATCAACCAAGTCAGCGAGCCTGACCACCGGATCCCGTTAGTCGCATTTTTCGACAGGCATAGTCGCCATTCACGGCAAGCATGGATTGCTGAAGACCTATTCTACACCGGATCTTGCACGAGTACCACCGACAATGTGACAGAGTTGATAAGAACACGTTTTTTCATATGTTTAGTTCGAGATCAGAGCCCTAAACACGACAGAGGATGGGGAGAGACTGCATTCCTTGCGTGTGATCAGTATTGTCCAGTTTGCAGATGGCAGATGTGAGTGTTTTGTTTTTCCTTCGCTAATAATTATTACCTTAAGACATCAAATACAATCCCGTAATGAATCCGGGTCAGAATAGATACCGAGACGCTGCTTGTCCTTGAGGTCGAGTCAGTCACATTGGTAGTCACAGTGTGTCACCAGGCTGATAGTGTGTCATTGAAAATGTGTATTCAGCATTTATAAGTAATATTTTCCTTATTTTGCAGACTTCAGTAATCCGAAAGGTTGGAATCTGAAAACACTGTGAGTTTCCTTGCACAAATTATGACACCAAATACTGTTATTGATTTGTGCTTATCTGGTGGTTGGTTTCAATCATGTGACATCGTATTGTCAGGTTATTTCACTGATCGTTTGTCTTTGAAATTTTGACTGTATATGAGGTGAGGTGAGGTGAAATTGGGTTTAACGTCGCGTCCAAGAATTTTGCACTTATATAGCTACGTGCATGTACGTGTATGTGTTTGTGTGGCTGCTTGTACTAGTCCGGACTGATGCCGATTTATAATGTTAGCTCACTGAGATACCATGCCGCAGTTTAACATGAATACCCCACTCAGACACAGTATACTGACTCACCGACCAGACCTTGTTTTAGCCCCTTAATACCGAGCGCCAGACAGCAACAAGTACCATCTTTTAACGTCTTTTGGTATGACGCAGCCGGGGATCGAACCCCGGACCTTCAGGCTCTCCGGGCGGACGCTCTACCACTAGGCCACGGAGGCGGTCTGACTGTATATGAACTAACCTTGGTCGAAATTAATTACTCTAAGCACCCAATTTAGCGCGTGGGTGAATGGGAACTATCAGGTTCCATCGGCAGTATTTCAGAGAATCGAACATATCGTTTTGGAAAGTTATTCCTTTTAAACGAATGATCAACTGAGACCAGGTTCATATTGACTTATGTTAGTGCTTATTTAACTTACCTATTTTATCTTAGCTGACTACAAATTTCAAGTGAACTTATGTTAATGTCTGCTTTTCTGGGATGAGTTCATTGTCAGCATTTAATTGCTTATTTATTTTGTTCATTGCTTTTATGCCTGCATATTTTGTATATGCAAACATTGTTGCTGTCAATAGACAATCTGACATTCCCTAGACATTCAGCGACAGGGTCATGCCTGCCCTCCGTGACAGGAGACCAGCCACAGAGACAATACGCACTGTCTGCGTAGAAACATTAACGCCACTGGCATTCGACGGGTCATTTCTGAGAGTGGTGGCAGTCACGAAGTGATGACCTTTGTACACACTCTGTGATGGAAAGCTGTCGACAACATGTCGATTCCATTCCCTGCTGAGGACACTTTGGCTCACACCAAAGACGTTTGCAACGTAACGTTGCTTTGATCAAGTTTCAAGCATGCCTGTGCATCTGCCTAATTCTCCTTTGTCACTGAGGGGGCCTCTGTCGAAGACGTCTCTGTCGCTGAGGGGGCGTAAAGAAACCAGACAATCAATTATTCAATGGACCAGAAAATCGAGAGACAGCACATGCACTGACCCTGCGGAATGCAAACAACGATATGTCAAGCTTCAACCGCGCAGGTGCAAATACCCTACTGCTTGTAAGCTATCAAATAGTGTGTTCGCGAAAAGGTGAGCGCATCCTGCCCCACCGGTGGCACGCATCATAAACACTTGCAAAAGCAATTATTCACCTGAAAAAAACACGGGAACATAAGGCAAAGTCAAAATAGGGGATATAGGGGTATTTTTCACACGTTGCCACTGGATGTCAGTTGTTTGAGACTACCTCTAATTCTAGAGATGTCCTTATAATGTTGTATTAATCTCTCTGCAGATTCTTGTTTCGGACCAGCACAAATGGATCTATTGACCTGGTCCATGTCCACCCTGAGGATGAGGACGAGCTGGTGGTCATCAAGAAGGCGGTCACCAGTCTCTTCTCTGTTACTGTCAGGGTATACGTTGCGATACTAAATATATAACGTCAAGGCCTGAGATTTATCATTCTCGAGTATCTGCAAAAAAACATATTGCACTGGGTGTAAAAGCCAAAAAATATATGAATGGCGATGCATAATTATATAATATTAAATAAGAATGCATAAGATTAGCAAATACATTGTACATCAGCAAATTGTTTAGATTTAGAATATTTATACACTGCCTACTCTTGTGAGTAAGCATAATTATGTAAATCATCAACGTTTCCTCTCTACAGCAATGCCATGACCTTGTTTCGATATAAGTATATCCAGTTGCTGAGCTTATAGTTAATTCAAACCCACATTGATGTATTGTAACGGATATCTTAAATACATTGTGTAAATTATGTATTATTGTTGTAAAGGAAACTGGAGAACGCACGGACTCCTATGAGACCACAGACCGAGATCACCTTGGTAAGTTATCCCTCGTAGCAAACATTAAAATGTAGTCCAACATCACGAGTTAATCACAGCCATCATAGAGAGAAAGTCCATATGATCTTACAACATGCATAATACTACAATCAGCACACATACATCACACATGGCTTAACTAAAAGAACCACTCCTTGTGTTTGCTAAATGTCTTACGTTTTGTATACTTCTCCAGGCGATCTGACGCACAAGTACAAAGTGGATACGACGCCGTCAGGAAGAACTCTGACTCGTTCCCACTTCAGTCATAACAGGGCAGAGAGAACACACCACAAAGTAAGACCACTCTGGAATTTTATAGTTTTAACTCTAGATAATGCACTGGTAACATGATGTCGCATGCTTCTCAAGACAAACTGCATGACATTGAATACAATGAGCTCGAGGGTTTTTTGTAAACAATTCGATCTTCAATCATATTGGGGCAGGGTCTAAATTTACAGCCCTCTTCTACTCTTCTACTCTCCTGTCCGTTGCAGTGCAACTTGCTCTGTACATTGCATTTACTCTCTGTTCTCTTTTTATTCCGGCTTCTTCAGCTCTTCAGCTGGTCTTCAAGCTCTCTGAATCAACTCCTTGAACCATGTTTAATCATGGAGGATTTCAAAGGCTACAGTCCACTTTGGAGTGTTTCAAACACTAACACTAAAGACAAATACTGGAGGGTGATATCTTGGTTAACAACGTATGCATAGTTAACGATGACTCCAACACTTATCTGCAGCCTGGTACCTACTAACTCTTCTCTAGATTTGTCGCTAACCAATTCTAATCTACTAACTAATTTTAATGGTCAGTCCACAATGACCATTGTGGGAGTGATCATTTTCCAATTATCCTTTCAAGAATAAATCCATCGGATACTCCACCTTCAAGAAGAATTGTAGGTAGGCAATCTGGTCCTTTTTCAAACTCTATGCGCAAATAATAAAACGAGTGATATTGTTGATCCTATTCAGGTCTTTTGATGACTTTTAAAACAAGGTGCATACCACCTCAGGGCGGCTCGTGATACTGCTGCAGGTGTTTAAATATTCATTATCGGTTGCTTTTCCATTTTCTTGATTCCTGTTTAAAAACACTGTTAACTATATTTGATCATATCTGGACAATGGAATATGTCCCTTCACCCTCCAAGATCGCTTACTAGCTGTGTTTGTAAGGCCATAGAAAGAATGGTCAATAACAGATTAATATGGTACTTAGAAACATGGTAGCATAATATTATCGGTAAAGTTATTTGGTATAAAAACTAATAGTTTATCTCAATTTTGAAATTACTCTGTTTAAGTCTTTTCACATATTCGAAGTGTGAGTTGTATATAAGGCGTATCAAGTGATGCCGTACACAAAACGAAAGAAATCTACGAAATAAAGATCGCAAAAGAAACATAACAATTATCATGTTGTAGTGACTGTTAAATGTTTAGGGATCAGGTGAAAATGTTCTCAGATCAAAAATGTCTAGATATATTTTTTCTACTGATGATGTTTGGTTGAAGTGTTACAGTGATTTACTTAACCCTGCTGTGAGGGCTAACTGTTCTGATTTTGAATTGAATTTTTACGGTTTTGTTTGAAAACACTCATGTATTCATTGTACACATTTATCATTTACCGAACATCTTCTGTCTGGCGTAATAATTGAATGTGAAATTACTAAAGCTATTATTTTATTGAATCAGGAAATAAAACATTGGAAAATGGCATACTTTCTGATTTGTTTAAGTCTTTGATAAATTTGCGCTTCTTTATTTAAATATATAGTTCACTAAAACACAAGATAATGGCAGATGCTTGGAATATTGGCATCTCTCTTTTCAAGCCTTATAGTAAAAATGAGCCAAATACTTACAGATGCATCACACTTTTAGATGTAGAGTATCAAACTGCTTTTCGTCGACTTTTCCAACATGATCTTCTTGCACAATATATCTATGTGAACCAAAAGTGAGATTTGACTGTACGTTCATTAATGTTAGAAAAAAAATATGATTTTGGACAGAAACAAACGATTGTATTTGCTACATGGTACGGATTGCCAGGATAAAATATTTTATTTTATGCTGTTAAGGGGCGTATAAAGGTTGGAAACTGTAACACAGAGTTGTTCCATTTATCATGTGGTGTACGTGTACTGTTGACTCTTTAATAATGAATTAGCTGATGTCATGTGTGACAATTTTGATCATGGTATATTTTTTCATTCAAACAAATACAAATCAATATTTTGGAAGTATTCTGTGATAAATTGGGTTCAAAAGTAAATATCGATAAAAAAAATGGTTGTATTGAAATGAAATGTGAAAAGTTACTTCTAAGAATTCTAATTATTGAATTGGAAGACCAAGGGTCACCATCCGACGTCAGGATCGTCAGATTATGCGACAGCATCTTCAAGATCGCTTTCTGATCGCAACCACGAGTTCCAGCATGATAACGCCCATGCCCACACTGCGACAGCAACAAGAGACTTACTTTAGCAAAAGTCCCATTGAGCACCTGTTGGACGTGATTCAAAGACAGCTGAATGACGTCCGATCAAGGCCGAAAATTGCAGATAAACTGCCTCAGGCATTCTTCAGAGTGTGGGATCAAGTGCCTATGGCCTTCATCAACCACCTCATACATTCCATGTATCGACGTTGTACGGCAGTCATCAATGCACATGGCGGACACACGAGACACAGACTCGTGATACCATTTTTCTCAGAGACTAGTATTGTCTTTCACTTTAAGAACAATTGACATTAATTTCAACCCTGATGATCAGTTTGGCCAAGTCTCACCTTTTAATATGTCTCAAAGTATGTTTACAGTGTTTGGACCGCTTAAGGTTTAAGGTTTTCATCAAGGTTAAATCAGTCAGCATCATGTAAAAGGTTTGCCAGTCAAGCTTTTTTATGCCGTAATTCCCATGTGATCTCTTTTGAGGCGAAACAAATATACTGAGCCGCAAAAGAAACGTTATCCCAAGTAACATTCCATGAAAAGTTGTCATTTAAATATGTGGGTAAGTTTTAGTTTTGTCAAAGTTTCTAAAACTTAACATTACCTTGTCCGGAAAAAAATGAAATTTGACGATAAAAAATCAAAGCAGACGTCAATAAAACCGATCGCCCAAACGCATCACAGCAACGGCCATGGTAACGCGATGCACGTGAGTTCCGTGCAATTTAAAATGCACATGCGTTCCTCCATTGCTTCCCTATAAAAATCCACCCAGATCAGATAACATTCATTCGTTATTGAATTGCTACCACATGCCAAGATTGACGAGCAATCAGCGACACCAAGCCCTTGGACGATTGCAAGCTGGACAAACTGCCCAACATGTAGACAATGCATTTCAAGTCCACGTAAGGACCATATACAGGCTCCGGCCACGGTACCAGACCACCAACACTACAGATGACCAACCACGTAGTGGAAGACCAAGGGTCACCACCCGATGTCAGGATCGTCAGAATGTGCGACAGCATCTTCAAGATCGCTTTGTTACTGCTGCAGAAACTGCACGACAGACCATGGGGACACACCAACGACACATTAGTGCGGATACCGTGCGTCGCCGATAGACGAGCAGACACCTCCACTGTCACAGGCCACACCGAGGACCCATTCTGACACCACGTCATCGCCGAGACCGTCTTCAGTAGGCAACCCAGCACCATCATTGGCGCCACCAGCAGTGGAGAAGAGTTATCTTCTCAGAAGAGAGCCGTTACTGCATCTCAACAGCAGATGGCAGAGGTAGAGTCTGGCGCCGCCGTGGGGAACGTTATTCGGATGCTTGTGTTGTTGAGAGAGACACGTGAGGTGGTCTGAGCATCATGGTGTGGGGTGGAATTGGTCTTGCAAGGAGGGTCGGCCCTGTGGTCTTCCAGAACATCGGTCCAGGGAGAGGCAATAATGTCACAGCAGCTCGGTACATTGATCAAGTCTTGAGACAACACGCCAAACCTCATTTGGCACGTCGCCGCAACCACGAGATTCAGCATGATAACGCCCATGCCCACACTGCGACAGCAACAAGAGACTTCCTCCAGCAAAATGGCATTAGAACCATGCAGTGACCTGCCCTCAGTCCCGATTTAAGTACCATTGAGCACCTGTGGGACGATATTCAAAGACAGCTGAATGACGTCCGATCAAGGCCGATAATTGCAGCTAAACTGCCTCAGGCATTCCTCAGAGTGTGGGATCAAGTGCCTATGGCCTTCATCAACCACCTCATACATTCCATGTATCGACGTTGCACGGCACTCGTCAATGCACATGGCGGACACACGAGACACAGACTCGTGATGCCATTTTTCTCAGAGACTAGTATTGTCTTTCACTTTAAGAACATTTGACACTCTAATTTCAACCCTGATGATCAGTTTGGCCAAGTTTCACCTTTTAATAAGTCTCAAAGCATGTTTACAGTGTTTGGACATATAAGGTTTCTCATATATCTATCCATGGTGACGTATTGCATTTAAGACCGCCCTAGCTGTATTTAATAGAAACATGGCACGTTATAAATAAATTACCTAATGTCATTTTTGACAGTGTTGATCACGGTATATTTGTTACACAGTGTATAAAAGATATAATGTTATTCTTATTTTTTGATGAAGTGGTAAAGTTCTTATAAACAGTTTCATTCTGACAAATACAACTAAATATTTTGGAAGTATTCTGTGATAAATTGGGTTCAGAAGTAAATATGGATAAAACAAATGGTTGTATTGAAAAGAAATGTGAAAAATAACTTCTAAGAATTCTAATTATTGAACCAGTACTTATTATAAATATCCTGGGATAAGGTTTTCATCAAGGTTAAATCAGTCAGCATCATGTGAAACGTTTGCCAGTCAAGCTTTTAATCCCGTAATTCCCGTGTGATCTCTTTTGAGGCGAAACAAATATACTGAGCCGCAAAAGAAACGTCACCCCAAGTATCATTGCATGAAAAGTTGTCATTTAAATATTTGGGTAAGTTTTGTCAAAGTTTCTAAAACTTAACATTACCTTGTCCGGAAAAAATGAAATTTGATGATAAAAAATCAAAGCAGACGTCAATAAAACCGATCGCCCAAATGCATCACGGCAACGACCACGGTAACCCGATGCACGTGAGTTCCGTGCACTTTGAAATGCACATGCGTTCCTCCATTTCTTGCTCTATAAAAATCCACCCAGATCAGATAACATTCATTCGTTATTGAATTGCTACCACATGCCAAGATTGACAAGCAATCAGCGACACCAAGCCCTTGGACGATTGC